GGCCCGCGGGCAGCGCGGCGGGCCCGGTGCTGGTGCCCCGGTGGGGGATGTCGGTGTGTCCCAGAGCCCGGGGGATGTACGTTTGTCCCGGGGCCGGGCCCCCGGCCCAGAACGGCGGCGGCGCTGCCCCAACCTCCATCTTAGTCACGCCGCGATTGCGCCTGCGCCGAGGAAACGCGGCCGCTTCCCGCCGCCGTAGCGAGTGGGCGTGGCTTAGTCGCCATCTTTAGCGTGGCGAAAATATCGGCCAGGCTCGGTGCCCTCCTCAAGATGGCGGCACCCCCACGTGACGCAGCACCGGTGCGGTGCTGGGCGGGGTCTGTGGTGCGGAGCCGCGCCCAATAGGCGGGGTTTGGGGTGGTGCTGGCCAATCAGTGTCGGGGGGCGGGGCCTGGGCGAAGGTAACAGGTTGCGGTGGCTGCGGCGGGAGCGGGCGGGGAGTGGGGGGGGGGGGACACCGGGAAACCGGGCCTGGGGACACCGGGTACGGCCTGGGGACATCGCACAGGAATCTCGGGACACCAGACAGGGACCTGGGGACATCGCACAGGGACCTGGGGACACCGGGCAGGGGCTGGTGGCACGGGAGAGGGTCTTTCCCCCTGGGCGGGGGGCTTGGTGACACCGAACAGTGGGCTGGGGATACCGGGCAGGGCGCTGGTGGCACGGGACAGGGCGCTGGTGACACCGGAGAGGGCGCTGGTGACACCGGGCAGGGTCTTGTCTCAGCGGGCACAGGCCCGGAGACACCGGGCAGGGCGCTGGTGACACCGGAGGAGGTGCTGGTGACACCGGAGACGCTCGTGGTGGCACGGGAGAGAGCAGTGGTGACACAGGACAGGGTTCGGGTGGCACGCAGAGGGGTCTGGGGACACCGGAGAGGGTCCTGGGGACACGGGACAGGGTCCTACTGTCCCTTTATGGGGTCCCGGTGTCCCTTTAGGGGGTCCCGGTGTCCCTTTAGGGTGTCCTGTCCCAGGTTCTGGAATCCCCCAGAAAACCCTTCCTGACCTTTGAGGGCAGCGCAGCTTCCGCCTTTTATCCCTTCAATGATTTGGGAAAAATCCAGGGGCATTTTTGAAGCCTCTTCCCGAAGTGAGAGGATCCCAAACCCAGGGGATCCCAATCCAGGGGATCCCAATCCAGGGGATCCCAAACCCGGGGATCCCAAACCCAAGGAATCCCAAACCCAGGGGACCCCAATCCCGGGGATCCCAAACCCAAGGAATCCCAATCCCGGGGATCCCAATCCCGGGGATCCCAAGTCCAGCGGGTTTTGTCCCTCTTTGTTCCGGGCTTTTGGGATCGCTCCGGGCGTTCCCAGACCGGTCGGACCGGTTTGGGATCATCGGAATTCCCTTTCCCTGGGCAGGATTTGGGGTTTCGCCTTTTCCCTGCGGCTTCCTGGGGCCAGGGAGGGAATTCCCGGGGGAAATGTGTGGGATTGAATTCCTCAGGGCGGGAATTTCGGGGGTGGAACTCAGGGCAAACCCAGAGTGACCCCAAACCCTGCAGGGATTTTGGTGTCCAGGGAACGGGATCATTCCCAAAGGAACGGGATCATTCCCGGTTATCCCAAGGAATGGGATCATTCCCGGTTATCCCAAAGGAACGGGATCATTCCCTGTTATCCCGAGGCTTTTCTGTGCTCAGGAATTTTATCCCGAAGACTCCGGTTCCACGGGCTCTATTTCCCTGGAAACTGTCACCGGATCCCGGCGGGGATCGGGGTCGGGATTGTCCCGGGAGCGGCGGGAACGGGATTTCCCAGGATTTGGGGTCGAGGGTTAACCCGGGAGCTCTGCCCAGAGCTGGGCTGGAATTCCTGGAATTCAGCTCCGCAGGGAGCCTCGGAGCAGCTCCTGGGGGATGATCCCGAATATTCCCGATCCCAAATGAAATCCCTCTCCCCGCCCTTGTCCCAGGTGAAAGATCCCATTCCCCACCCTTTTTCCGGGTGAAAATTCCCATTTTTCCAGGTGCAATTCCCTCTGCCCCCTCGATCTCCGCCCCTCCCCGGTTTCGGGTTCCCAGGAAAAGCGGGAAAAACTGGAAAATCCGGAAAAGCCGCTCCCGGTTTTTGGGCGCGGCTCCAAATTCCCGGACTTTGGCCCCAAACAACGCCCGGGGGAGGAGCTGAGGGCGGAATTTTGGGAAAGATCCCCCGGAGGCAAAAAAAAAAAAAAAAAAAACAAACCAAAACCGGGATGGTTTGGGGTAATTAATTTGGGATAATTAAGTTGGGATAATTTGGTATAATTTAGGATCACTGGGATAATTCATTTGGGATCATTTGAGATAATTTGGGAATTCTTTGGGATCATTTGGAGCTCCATTTGGGCCCCAGGGTCTCAGGAACGGGGCAGAATTTTGGGAAAACCTCACTGGGACCATTCTAAATATTGGGAAGATCCCAAACCAGCAATTTTGGGAATATTTAGGGAACATTTGGGATTTTTTCCTTCCTTTCCCACCTTTGACCTGCTGGGTTTTCCCCTCCCTTTCTCCATTCTCAAAATTCCAAATTCCCTTTTCCTCCTTCAGGAAGAGGAAAAAAAAAAAAGGGAAAAAAATTCCTGGAAAAGCAACTCCAGTTGTTTTTTTTCCCCCCAATTTTCCGGCCACTCTGGGAATTACAAAACGGCTTTTTCTGGGTCGGAGCCACAAAGGCTCTTTGTGCTTCCCTGGATCCCAGCCAGCCGGAAAATTCCCAAAATTCCGCCCTTCCCGAGGGGCCGGGATGGCCTCTCTGATTTTTCCCAACCCCATTCCCAGGGAAAATTCCCATTCTGGGTTTTTTTTTTGGGCCCTAAATTCCCTTTTCCTGCTTTTTTCCTTCTGATTTTCCAGTGAAATCCCCGAAATTCCGTTTTTTTTCTCAGCCCCAAAATTTGCATTTTCCTGCTTTTTTTCCCCATTTTTTCAGCCCCAAAATTCCCTTTTCCTGTTTTTTTTTCCTTTCAGTTTTCCAGTGAAATCCTGGGAGAGCAAAAGAGCAATTCCTGTCACGGATTTCCTCATTTCGGGAATATCCGATCCTCTCCCGGATTTCTGGAAAATCCAAATCCTCTCCCGGTTTTTTGGGAATATCTGATCCTCTCTCGGTTTTCCAGCCCTCCCCTGTTCCCGTTTTTTCTGGAGCCATCTGGGAACGTTCCCAACCCCCTCCCCTCCCATGGATTCTCCACCTGCTCCAGGATGGAGCTGGGATGGATCCAAGGGTTTGGGATGGATTCCAGGATCTGGGATGGATCCATGGGTTGGGGATGGATCCCGGGATCTGGGATGGATCCCAGCCCTTCCCGGTGACCCTGACCCCTCCTGGCCCTTCCAAAGGTCTTCCCTGGCTGCCGGAATTCCCATCGGGATCGCTCCCAGCCCCGCCCCGGCCTCGCTGCCCTTTGGCCACCGGGAAAAATTCCCGATTTTCCGCCCGCGCCGCTCCCCGCTCAGGTCGGTTCCTGGATTTCCTGGATCCCGGGGATTTGGGGATTTGGGAATTCCACTGCCGGGATCCCTCCCCTGCAGTTCCAGGGATTTTGAGATTCCTGGGATTTGTGGTGATTCCAAAGGGATGGCAGAATTTGGGGATTAAGGAATTGGGGGATTTGGGGATCCAGGAATTTAGGGATTTGGGAATTCCGCTCCCAGGATCCCTCCCCTGCCATTCCAGGGGTTTGTGGGGATTCCGGTGGGGCAGCAGGACTTGGGAACCCCATCCCTGCCCTGGGATCCTTTTCCCCACCCCCATCCCACGCTCTGCTCCTTCCCTTTGGGATTTTTTGGGGATTTTCCCGGCACTTCAGACCCATCCTGGCATCGCAAAATCCCCCAAATCCCTACAAACATCCCCAAATCCCAACAAACATCCCCAAATCCCCCTTCCCCTGCTCATTCCGCAGCTCCTCGCGTCATTCCCGATTTATTCCCGCGAAAAAAACCCCGGCATCTGGGGCGGAATCGCGGCTTTTCCAACCGCAAATTCCCGATTTTTTTTCCCGGGGCTTCCAGAGGATTTCTGGGATCGAGGGCGGGGGGAGGTTCCGTCCTCGCGCTGCTCCCAAAATGTCACCGCTCGTCCGAAAAACCGGGGAAAAACCGGGGAAAAAACTGGGAAAACCCCGGAAAACGGGGGGAAAAAAAAGGGGGGGGGCTGTGAGGCTTTCCATTGCTCTGGGATAAAAGCTTTTGTCACACTTTACAGTACCATGCCATTTCCACAAGTTTACCCATAGCGAATCATTTGTGGGGGCTAAAGGGGGAAACAAGTGGAAAAAGGGGGGGAAATGGGGAACACCGGGAAAAACAGGGAGGGAAAGGGGTGAAAAAATGGGAAAAACCGGGCGTGGGGGACGACAATGAAAAACTGGGAAAAAATGGGGGGAAGATGGGGAAAAGGGGGGAAACCTGGAATAAAATGCGGAAAACTGGGGAAACCGGGGGGAAAAAGCGGGAAAAAAGGGGAAAGCTGGGGAAAACCCGGTATAAATGGGGGAAAAACTGGGGGGAAATAGGGGAATAACGGGGGCAAAAAAATAGGAAAACCGGGGGAAACCC